AGAAGCACTCCATTACCAAAACACACTGAGTTGGTGGCATTTTCAAGGAACACACAAGCCCAGTTTTCCAGGGAATAAATCATTTTTACCTATAAGCTGTCACTTAACATTGCAAATGAAATAAAATGCAATCCTTTTCCAATATAAACATGAGATAAGGAAAATAAGGTATACCCTTAACTCTGCTTCATGATTGGGGTATCAATCAGGATTTTATATTCTTTCTAATGGAAGTTAATGAAAGATTAAAAAAATTCTTAAAGAAATGACAATATATAGTTTGGCTCTCTTATCTAAATTTCCAATTCTTAGTCATATTTATTTCTTCATGGTTCTCAAAAAAAGTTGCTAGAAATAAACTGAGCATTCCATTACCACTCCCTAGTTTAGGCTTCTCTTACAACAAACTCATCTCAAGCAAAAGGATTTTTGAAAACCTAATGACAAAACAACATCAACCAAAACAGGAAAAGCTACTCTTTGCAGTTGGTCAACTTAAAAGGTAGCACATTAATATAGCTTTTCTTTTATAAAGGTCAAAGATTTTACTTCTGGGTCATAAAAACCTATGAAAAACAATTTTCAGAGATAATGAGACAACCTAATTAAAAAGGAAATGGGAACTATAAGACCAGATTCTAAACATCATGAAAAAGTAACATATTATGGATGTATACTTGAGAGCAATCCTACACATGTAGGAACTACTTCATGAATTTCAGAAATGCAATTCAATCTTCAGAGAAAAAAAGGCTCTCATCTGTTAAAAACAGCAAAGATCTAGGGACAGCGGTGAGACACAAGAAAATGCCTGAAGTGGACTCTGTTCATTCAAGCAGATAATCAGAATGAATTATTTACAAGCATACTTTTATCTTCAACACCACTAAGAGCTCAATCCTAAGGAGCTTAGGCAAACTGTAACACATCTGCTAATCAAAAATAAACAGATCGAAGGTGAAATGTTCCAACAAAATCCATGTATAAGACTAGAGAGAAGGCAGTGAGATTAAAGGAAAAAAAATGTTAGAAAAACACAAAATAGGCTGGTAGACGGTTACTTATATCAAGTCAGATAGCTGAATTAAACTAATGAACTAGCTGTATTTAGCTAAGGATGGGTAAGCATGTTCCCTCAACAAGAGGACTGCACAAAGGAAAACGACCATTCTTTCTATCTTAATTCAATATCATGTAAATTTTTAACTAGACTGGAGGAAAAAAAAAAAAACACCTAACAACTCACACATGATATTTCAAGTCTATATCTACACTTCATATATCTTTCAAAGGAAAGGAAAAATATCAAACATATAAAAGCACAAAAGAAACTTAGTATCCTCCTGCAAAGAAAATATAGCCTCAATAATTTGTCATGCCTTGGGCATCAAATAATAATAAATGTCACAAACATAAGAACTTTAAAATTAGGATTTTGCCTCATGTCTTTTACTCATTTTAAAGAAAGTTACTTGTCACATCAAAAAAATATTTTATCAAATTATAATGTCAACATTATAAAATGCAACAAATAAAATGTCTGATAATATAAGCAGCAGGTGAAATGCTGTATTCTAAAGAATGCTGGAATAATGCTCCTGTACACTGTGAAGTTGTGTTGCTCTCATTGTTAATAAAAAGCTGATTGGCCAATAACTAGGCGGGATTTTCAGGGCAGAGAGAACGCTGAGAGGAAGAAGCATGGAATCACAGGAGTCTAAGGAGATGCCATAAGACTCAGAACAAGCAGGATAAGAAGTATGTACATGAGGTAAACGTGCCTTCGGGCACCACACAGATTAATAAAAATGGGTTAATTTAATCTATAAGAGCTAACTAAAAACAAACTTAAGCTATTGGCTGAGCACTTATAATTAACATTAAGTCTCTGTGTGGTTACTTGGAAAGTGGCTGGAGGAACAGAAAAGTCCACCTATAGAAAAATGAGATGAAAATAAACAAAAATCACTACATAAAGAAGCAAACCAGATTGATTTCTTCTTTCTCCTCAATAACAATACTTAGGCTTCATAAAAAAAAATTAAAGATAAAAATTTATGTATTCCTACTCATTCGTGAACCAAGTAAATGTGTAAAGGTCATGTGTATTTTAGATACTAGATATAAAACAGTAAATAAATAAATATCTTGAACTCAAAAGATTTGTATTCCAGAGCTAGGCATGGTGGCCCAAAACTGTAATCTCAGCTAAGTTGGCTGTGAGTTCAAAGGCAGCCTGGGCAGCACCTTGTTCCACAAAACAAAATATTAGATAGTGACAAGTGTTATAGAAAGAAAAAAAAAAAACAGGATGATATAATATAATGTAACTGAATGGTTATTTTAAACTGGGCATTCAGAAGGTCACTTGAAGGACACATCTATGGTTCAAGAAAGAGGCAGAGAGCAAAGCTCTAATACAACTATTGCAAGCCAGCAAGCAAGTGGAGGGGACAGAGGTGAAATCAACACAGAACCAGATATGGCGCTTGTGGGTCATAGTAATACATTTTGAAACTGCATCCTTGGATCCTAGGAAGAACCTTGTTATACTCAGTGTCTCATGCTTTTGGGGAAACTGCTGTGAGACGCCCTATCCACCACACAAACCAAATACTGTTCAGAGAGGCCAAAGGAAACCTTTTCTTTTATTCCCTGACCTTCCCTGAGGAACTAGCATATATCTACCTCATACACATTTAAATCTTAAAAACTTTTAAAGATTTTTGCATGGAAGCACATTTCACAGCACATATGCAGAGGCCAGAGACCAATTCTGTAGTGTTAGTTCTCTCCTTAGAACTTTCCTGGCTTCCAGAAATCTGACTCAGGTCACCTGGCTTGCATGGCAAGCACCTTTACTCCTGAGCCGTTTCCAGGGCCAGAGCTCTCATGTGCACTTTGAAATTATGTTCTCCTCTATCCTATCCTTGGAACTCCAGAAAACCTCAGAGTTGAATCTACATTTAGCTTCTGGCAGCTGCATAAAACCTTATGGTATCTATTTTCTTTTAAAATAAAAGTTTCACTTTAGAAATAGTTTTAAATTTACCAAAGAGTGACAAAGATAGTACAGAGCGTTCCCATACACCCCACCCATTTCCTGTCATGAGCTTCTTACATAACAGCTTATCACAATTAATAATTAGTAATGATGATGATGATACATTATTATTAGTCAAAGTCCGTAATTTACTCAGATTTCTTCAGCTTTTACTTTTTTTTTGGTAGCTATGGTAGTTATTATTATATAACTTATTATAATACTTATTAAAAGCTTTCTCTGGTACTACCTCAAATCTTTTCAAAGATTGCACTTAGAGAATAAGACAAACTCAGAGATTTCACAAATGTTCTTTAATCTTAACAATAAGCTATACACATTTAACATGTCTAAATAACATGATACAGCTATTACATTCAAATCAATAATAAACATTTTAAAAATAAATGCCCATTAGATACTATTTAGAAATATTGTTTATATGATATATGACCAGATGTGGTGACACATGTTGTAATCCCAGTGCTCAGGGAGCCAGAAGCAGAAGGATCCCATTTAAGGTAGTTCGGATTATCTGGTGAGACCATATGAGGGCTATATGAAACTCTGTCTTTAAAAAAAAAAAAAAAAAAAATTCCCTATATAAATAAACTAACAAATTATCAATGAACTTAAGAAACCTACTAACCTATTTGCTAATTAATGTCTAAAGGAAGGTTAACAATAACTAAACTGATTTTACTGTGGTTATACAAATATACTTGAGAATCACTGGGAAACTGTTTAAAACTGTAAAAAATCAATACCTACCCCAAGCATTAAAATGCCCATGTTCCACCTCAAGATCCTATCTCAACTAGTCTGAGACAGTGACAAAGCACTACTTTTATTTTTTTAATTGTTAAATAAAAAGACCCCCAGGTTTGCTGCATGTGAGACATAACTGATAATCACAAGTTTAACATAAAAATATTCCTCTCTGGAATCAAAGCTTTTACCTTTACTAAAACTTAAGGTCTGTGGGGAAAAGAGAAAGAGAATAAAGACAGAAGTACTTTGTAGATATCATCAAGTCCTAACAAATATTTTCCCTTTAAGAATGTTGAAGCTTAGGGGCTAGTGAGATAACTCAGTAGGTGAAGACACTTGCTACCAAATCTGATAACCTGAGTTCAATCCTGGGGACCCACACCTCTGTATAAACACACAATGGTATGCTCCACCACTGCAATACATAAGTGGAAAAAAAAAAAAAAATGACGAAGCTAAAATCCTGTCTTAGACTTTGTTGATGCAGCTTCGTGTACTATATAAACAGAAAAGTTATATTGGTCTAACTACTTCTGGACAAAGACTTAATGGAAGGATGGATATAAACACTGAGGGAGGAAGGCAACAGACATGTTTCACAGTCCTAAGATGATGTGTTTGTCAGGTTTTTTTTTTTTTTTGGTTACTGTGCCAAATAAACAATTTAAAAGGAAGAAAGATTTATTTTGGCTCACAGTTTCTGAGGCTTTAGTCCACAACTGGCTAGCTCTGTTATTTCTGGACCATGAATCATGGCAGGTAGCATCTGGTGGGACACAGCAGCTCAGTGCATGGCAGAACACTAAAAGACTAGAAGGGGCTGAGGACAAAATCTGTTATTCCAGGGCACATTCCCAGTGACTTGACTGCTCTAAACAGGCCCCAGCTTACCTCTAAAAGTTGCCACAACAATAGTGTCACCAACTAGGATCAAACCTTTGCATATGAACCTATGGGAAGCAGTTCAAATCCAAACAATAGCAGATGACTCAAGAATATAATGCAGATCTATCACAAGCATTCAAACTTAAGTGTGAAGCAGACAAAAAAAATTGAAAAAAAAAATCAAAACCAAAAAGACATACATAATAAAGCTATAATAGCCATTTTATAGTTTTGTGTTTAAAATATTTTTCATTAAAAAGAGGTTTGTCTGTGACTAAACCTAGAAGTTACTTTATCTTACCTTCGACAGACGGTGCCTGGTCCTGAGCTGAATAGAGCATATCCTTGAATGCCTATTAGAAATAAAAAAAAAAAAAAAAAAATGTAATACATGAAATCAAATTAAAGTTTTATTGAAAGCACATGAGCTAAACAATTCTTTTTCACTATTCAGTAACTACATTTAGTTTTCTAAATTAAAAATATTGTGAACTATTTTAGGTAACTTTAATATTGTTCAATCTTTAAGATGAGTGCTCATTTATACACTTTAAAATAAAAGGGCATTGGAAAATGACACACCTGAAAGATCAAAAACCCTTTGGATTAAAAAAAAATGTGGGAAATAGAAGAGATTTTTGTGAGTGAACTAAGGGCAGGTGGGAATGGAGACACAAATGATTAGGGACAGGGGTGTGTAGGGGAGAGTACTGAAAGAGACTACTAGAAGGGGAAGGCATTTCGGGATCAGGTTTTTAAAAAAATGGCACAAATGAATTTCCCAGGAATTTATAAGGATGACCCCAGCTCAGACTCTTAGCAATAGTGCATATGTAGCCTGAGCTGGCCATCTCCTGTGACCAGACTGGTGCCTAGCCCAACTGTCATCTAGCAACTGATAGAAACAAGATGCAGACCCACAGTCAAACAGTAGGGGGAGTTTGGGAGATCCTGAACAAGAGGGGGAAAAAGGACTTTAGGAGCCACAGGGCTCATAGGGACTCACAGAGACTGAACAGACAACAAAAGGACTGATCTAAGACCTCTGTGTGCACGTGTGTGTGTGTGTGTGTGTGTGTGTGTGTGTGTGTGTGTGTGTGTGTGTGTGTTGTGTGTGACATGGGGAAGTGCTTAGTCTTACTGCAACTTGATATGGCATGTCATACTCAGGGGATTCCTGCCCTTTCATGAACAGGAAAGAAAGGGGAGTGGATTGGCGTATAGGAACAGAAAGCAGCGGGAAGAGGGCTTGGGGAGAGAGGATGGAAGGGAAACTGTGGCTAGGATGCACAATGAATGAATGAATATATGCATGCATGCATGTATGTATGTATGTATGTATGTTTAAAAGAAAAATGACCTAATGATGGGATTGGCTTGGTGGATGGGCATATGATCTCAAGCTCAATGACCTGAGTTCAATCCTTTGGACCCAAAGACTATAGAGAACCAACCCCTGGAAGTTCTGATCTCCACATGCCTGCATATGCACATGCACAATGTAATAATAAAAAAGATCCTAAAGATAAACACTGGACCTACATAGTAAAATGTGAAAAACTAGAAAAACACTGTAGCTTAAGCTGGCCTACAAGTCATGGCAATCCTGGCTCTGCCTCTTGAGTGCAGGGACTACAGGCTTGAGCCACCATACCTAATCCCCAGAAATCTTTCTATTTTAGATATAAATGTTTATTAGTAAAACTCTGAGACACTTAAGACTATAAAAAGAACAAGGATTTTATAGTTTATCTCCCCAAAATTACATAGTAGATTAGCTAACAACCATATTTAGGTAATTTGGATAGTTACAGTATAATTTCTCAATAAGTACGTTGGGAACTGGAATAAGAAGCACTTCTCAGGCCAGAAATGAGAAATGGCTCAGCAGGTAAGTGTTACTGCTGCCAAACCAGACAATCTGAGTTCAAACCCCAGGACCCACATGGTGGAAGGAGAGAACCAACTTCCCAAGCTGACCCGTGACTTCAACAAATGAACTATGGTACATGCGTCCCTGCCCCCCAAAATAAATAAAATGTTTAAAACAGAAATGGCACTAATTAAAAGAAAACATATAAATCGGATTAATGTGCTAAGTGGATAAGGTTCCAGGGATGAAGAACTTAGTGACTTTAACCCTTCAAGTTTCAAATACAGCTAACTACTGCCAATCCCTAAACTGGTATATGACAGAGTTCTTTAACCTTAATATAATTGACATTTGGGGCAAAATAATTTAAGAGGAGGAGTTCTTAGCATCTCCAGAGGCATCTAGAGACAGCAGCATCAATCCTCACCTCCCAGCTGTGATACTGCTAAATGTCTCCTGGCAAGCAAAATCACGCTTCCCCAGAACCATCCGCCCACAGTTTTCAAGCATATAAATACTGAAAAGTGGCCCACCCTCTTTAAAGAGTATTCACATCTAGCACATTATAGTCTCCCCAAGTGAATTTACTACTTGCTTTGCTTTAATAATTAGTCTGTTACTTCCACATCTATCCAAGCCTAAGATCTCTAAGAAAACAAGACAATTTAAAATTCTTAATCCATCTTTGTTCTCTTTGTTTTCTAAAAGTGTGAGAAAATTACCTATACAAAAAAACCCCTTTATGTTTAAATCAAAAAACATTCAGTAAGACTCACTGTATAAAATTTAAATAGGCAAAATAATAACACCTCCAAGTTATATAAAAAATGAATTTCATGTGCAGTTTTTGGCAGAATAGTAGAAAGTTCTCCCCTAGGGCCTATGACTTATCTAGCTAGCCATAGGTTTTTGGCCCAATAATGGTGCCAAGTATGAATTTTATCTTGTGGAGTGGGGCTTAGATGCAATCTGAAAGTGGTTGGTTATTCCCATGATGTTCAGGCCACTATTGCATTAGTGGTCATGTCTTGCTAGGCCAGTTGTTCCTATAGCTTGCAGGGTCCACAGACAGGTAACTGATGATTACTTTTCTCCCCTGGCATGGCAGTTTTCATCATTACAAAAAGCTAACCAGTGGGAATGAAGCTTCCAAGTCAGTACAGCTTGATTTTCTCCATGTTCTATGACTCAAGAATGTGGTGTCACCAGAAGTCATGGAGAACACGTATGATCCTAGCACTTGGGAAGGAGAGGCAGGTAGATCTCTGAGTTCAAGGCCAGCCAGGTCTATAGAGTGAGTCCCAGGACTGCCACAACTACACAGGAGAACACCATCTCAGTAATAGAGTAATCATAGCATGGGCAATAGCATGTAATGTATGGGGGTCCATGGGATCTTACTTGCTAACTATTGCCAAAAGAAATAAACTTGGGACTAGATTTTTATGTGTTACCCTGTGGTACCTACTGGGGATGCTGTTGTTCTGTTACAGGGTAACTCCCTTTTAATTCTTTTTATATGTGTGTATGTATGTAATATATGTGTGTGTGTATACATATAAAATAGACTATATATACATCATATACATACATGGAAATTTCTATGTTAAGCTCCAATATGACTTTTTAAAAAGGTCTTTATTGTTATCTCACCCAGCATTTCCTTCTCCATCCTGCACTACTATCCCCACCCCAATTTAAATTTTCTTGTTCATTCTTCCCCTTTAATCCTTTATACCACTGCATTGTATCTCCACTTCTATGGTGGTTTGAATGAGAATGGCCCTCAAAGGTTAATATATTTGAATGCCTGATCCCTAGTTGCAACTGTTTTGGGAAGGATTGTTTGTGGTCTTGTTGGAAGGGATATGTCAACAGAAGTGGACTTTTACCATGACAGGCCAATGTTCAGTCTCTCTTCTCCCTCCCTCCCTCCCTTTCTCTCTGGTGCTTGTGGATATGCTGTAAGCTCTCAACTATTCCTCCAGTACCATGCCTGCCTGCTTGCTTCCATGCTCCCCACCATGATGGTCATACACTTACTCTCTGAAACTGTAAGCAAACCCCTAATTAAATGCTGTCTTTCATAAGCTTCCTTGGTCATGGTGTCTCTTTACAGCAAGCAAAAAAAAAAAAAAAAAAAAAGAAAAAAAGAAAAGAAAAAATGAAAGGAAGGAAGGAAGAAAGAAACAAACTGAGATAATTCCCTTGAAAGTACCCTTCATGTCCCTTTACACATTTCCTGACATCTAGGAGTATTTCAAATGAAATGCTAAAGATTCAAATACATACATGAAAGTGAAATACCTATAAAACAAAATATTTGTATTATTCTAAACTGGAGCTTTTGATAGGTGTGGTCTTGACCTCAAGACATCTTTCCTTTTGCAAAAAATATAAGGCTTCTCCTTAATTGTGCTCACCTCAACAACTGAAGATGTTTTCTATGTTGTACCTTCCTTGTTAGAACTTTAAACTCACTCATACTCCTTTCTTTACCAAACCTTCTCATATCTTTCAGTTCCGCTTGCTTGTCTCTCTTTATAAACCAGGATAAGAGCAGTAAGCAGTAACCACATGACAAGTGAATGCTGTCTGGCCTTAAAATTTCCTCTGCCAAACAAACTAGATTATTACTTTTGCCTTATATCTCACAACTTACCAGAATTCAGGCAAACTGAAAACATTCTTTGCTGGAATGTAACATGAATGGCCTCTAAACAACTCCCCAACAGAATTTTGTTCCCCTCTGAAACCTTAGGAGTCAGGCCTCCAGGGTCCACATTTCTCCTGGACCAGTAAACCCCACTTATAGCATGGTAGGGCTTGTCTCCAGTCCATAGCTCCAAACATGTGCACATTTCTCCCACAAATCAACTAACAACCCACAACTCACATTGTCAGGGTTATCATGGCAATAATTACACTGTGTACTAATTTTCCATAATACTTTTTGTTGTTGTTGCTGTGACAAAACAATTAACAAAAGCAACTTAAAGAGGGAAAGAGGTTAAGGTGATAGAATTCATTGTAGTGGGAAGGCACAGCAACAGGAATGTGAGGTGGCTGGTCCCATTACATGCAGTCAGAAAGCAGACAGGGATTGATGCTGTTACTCAGATGACTTCCTCTCTATCCCTTTTTATTCAGTCCAAAACCCCAGCCCATAGAATACTGCCACCAACCATCATGGTAGGTTTCCCCTATTCAGTCAAACCTTTCTGGAAATGCCCTAACCAATACTCCTAGAGGTATATCTTTTAAATAAAAATAAACTCAGCCTCATTGTCAATGAAGATTACCATCAAAATTATGAAAGTAATAATAGTTATATTTATGGAATGCCTATCATCAGAAAATATTTTAATTTACTATTTTAAGAGAAACTTGCAAATCTCATTTAAGTAAATAACTCCCATTTAACCTATTAAAGATCTGAGACTTGGGGTTGGGGATTTAGCTCAGTGGTAGAACCCTTGC